TGTCCGTCTGTCCGTCTGTCCGTCTGTCCGTCTGTCCGTCTGTCCGTCTGTCTGTCTGTTTGTATGCAATCTAGTCTCTCAGTTTTCGAGATATCCGGATCAAATTTGGTAAGTGGGTGTATTTTTATAATGTATTAATCATTTGTCGGAACCGGAAGAATCGGACCACTATAACATATAGCTCCCATACAACTGATTGTTCAGATATGAGATTTTTCGCTATAACTTCTCCATTTATGCAGCTAGGAACATGAAATTTTGCAGTACTTGCACCCATTATCAACAGAATACTTACAGTGGAAATTACAAAAGATCGGGTCACTATAACCTATAGCTCCCATACAACTGATTGTTCAGATATGAGATTTTTCGTTATAACTTCTACATTTATGCAGCTACGAACATGAAATTTTGCAGCACTTGCACCCATTATTAACAGAATGCTCACAGTGAAAATTACAAAGATCGGTTCACTATAACCTATAGCTCCCATACAACTGATTGTTCAGATATAAAATTTTTCGTTATAACTCCTCCATTTATATAGCTGGGAACAGGAAATTCCGCACTGTTTTCAATAATTATCAACAGAAAACTTACAGTGAAAATTAAAAAGATCGGATAACTATAACCTATAGCTCCCATACAACTGATTGTTCAGATATGAGATTTTTCGTTATAATTCATGCATTTATGCAGCTAGGAACATGAAATTTCGCACCATTTTCACTCATTATTAACAGAATACTTACAGTGAAAATAACAAGGATCGGGTGACTACAACATATATCTTCCATACATCTGATTGTTCAGATATGGGATTTTACTGTAAAACTCCTTTATTTGAACAGCTAAAACCGATAAATTTCGTAAGATATTTTATAAATAATAATACAAAGTCTACTGAGAAAATCGTCAAAATCTATGCTGTATAAGCTTTATCTCCTATAGCACTGATTGTTCAGATACCAGTTTTTGCGATATATCTCCTTTATGTAGGAAACTAAACCCAATAAATTGTGTCGGTTTACATACCGATCACATAGCAGTGAAAATCACTTAGATTGGTGCTAATATAAGGTATATCTTCCATACCTCTGTTTGTTCAGATGCGATTTTTTATATAGGTATGTAACTCCTCTATCGATGTATGCAGATGTACTCAAAAGCAGTAATCTGTCAAAGTAAAATTTGCAGATGTTCATGAAAGGTATGAAGCCTTCGGCATAGCCGAAGACAGCGCTGCTCTTACTTGTTTTTCTACTAATTTTCTGTTATTTTAATTTCATCTAAAAGTAATAGTGTAAATCGCGTCCCTGCAAGAAATTAAACAAAACTGATATTCCTCTGCGTACTCGCGAGTAGTCCTGGTCAACTAAAACTATCGGACAATTATTTCTTTCGTCGTTTCTTAGACCATTGTTCAAAGCTGAATAAGTAATTTGTGGTTCTTTTAAGATTCTGGTAAGAGGTGAGAATAATTATCATGAGAATAGGAATCCACTCTCATTCTCACCGACTAATTAGTACCAAGAATGGATATTTACTCTACGAGGAGAGTAAAAGCCCATTCTCATGAGAGGGAATTCCTATTCTCATGAGGTTGTAAATACTCAAATAAAAAATATTTAGGTACTCAGGAGCTGTTAGATACTAAAGTAAAAAAAACTTGGGTATTTAGAAACTGTTAGATACTAAATTAAAAAAAAACTCAAAACACATAAACTAACCAAATCTCACTTACAACAACTGAACTCATTCACGCCTGTTCTCACCGCCCCTCACCTAAATTTACCACACCTCAACTCGTCTCACCTCAATTTTGAAACTATTTCGGGATTTTAGAGATTTTAGGTATTCTCGGGACTAAATAAGAATTTTCAAAACTATTTTGGGAATCTCGGGACTATTTCGAGATTTTCGGGACTTTTTCGAGACTACTTTAGCATGTCGGGGCCTACCACATGATTTTCGGGGCTATTTCGGAATTTTTGAAATATTTACTGATATTGATACCGATATATTTATCGATTTTGAAATCGTTATATATTTCTTGATTTTTATCGATATATTTATCAATATAATAATCGATAATTTTTTGATATATTTATCGATATAAAAGTGGGGTTTTTTATTTTTTATTTGGTCTCAAAAATAAAAACTAAATAGTCCCTACAATCCCGAAAATCTTAAGTGAAACTAACTAAATTCTTTTAGACTAAGTATTTTGCGCGGTGAAAATAAGTAAATACTAGCATACTTGATAAATATTAAGTACATCCAAAATACTTAACCCTACAGTGGTGTAGTGGGGTATATCTCAGGCCTTGCGGAATGGTTGTGTGCACTTCTAACCACTACACCACAGCGGACGTCCAAATTGCTGGAGGACTTTTCAATATTTCGATTGAGATTGAGAGTGCCACTATTGATGATAGGTAGATAGTTGTATTTGGGAGAGAGGATATTCACGATATCGCAGCCGATCCAAGTCAAACGAAAAGCGCAAAATACTACAAATATATGTTTACATATATACATGGCAATAACCTATGTAATATAAGCGATTGTGTATTACAACTATTGGAGCGAAGGACATTGAAATTCAACTTAGTATAGAAGACAAAGTAACGTCTTGAAGTCGGCATAGTTGCATCAACTTAGATTCAACCAAATTATGGTTCGAATGGATGATTAGCCACCCACAAAACCCTTTTTTTAAATAAGAAGACGATTGATAGAAATCACATAGGTAAGTATGCGAATAATACAGAAACGTTTACGGCACACATTCCCTACAGGGCCAGCGCACAATACGTAGAAAAGCACTAAGCGTAAATGCTTCTGCTAGAAGATCGGCAATGTGCCATGGACAGTACGCGGGCATCGACAGCAACACCGGCACCAACAACGGCGACAGCGATCTTGGCACACATGTTGCAAGTGTGTTTCGGGTTGACGACTGATGCATACGCAGCACACACTTGCCGCGGCGTAGAGCATCGCACAGATTGAACAAAAACGCCACACTGGCACATTCTCACATTCGTTTTCGTATACGCAATTTTGTCGAACTTTAACATTTTCGATTTTTGTTGTGCAATGTTTTATTTTCATTTCAATTTTACTACGAAAAAACATAAGCGCAAATTGTTTTCGCTTTTTGTTTTCGCATTTGCTGCAAAAACTAGAAAATTTGTATACAATATACATATGTATGTATGTATGTATGTATGTATGTATTTATGTATAGTTAAACTTTTTATGAAGTGTGAGGAAGAAATTGTTAGCAGGCAACGAGGAAGATGGGCCAGCGGTGCAATGGTTGGTGTACACTCCAGGCACAGCAGTGCTGCACGCTTGCCACACTACTCAATACTGCTTGCCACATGTGTGCGTTGTTGTTGCGCTGCTTTCCTATGCAGTTGGAGGATGATGGCTTTTGCCAAATCGCACTATCGCCTGTCTATTTTTAGCAAATCCTGCCACATTGATGCAACCACAGCTGCAGTTTTAGTAGCAGCAACACTCAAGCTGCAACAACACGTT